GTCTCTCTCTGGTCGCTCTCTGGTCTCTCTCTGGTCTCTCTCTGGTTCACCTCACTGGTCAATCTCTGGTCACTCTCTGGTCTCTCTCTGGTCTCTCTCTCTGTCTCTCTCTGCGTCACTCTCTGGTCTCTCTCTGAGTCACTCTTCGGTCTCTCTTGGTCTCTCTCTGTCTCTCTATGGTCTCTCTCTGGTCTCTCTCTATGGTCCTCTCTTCTGGTCTCTCTCTGGTCTCTCTTGGACTATCTCTCTTGTCTCTCTCTGGTCGCTCTTCTCTGGTCTCTCTCTGATCACTCCTGGGTCTCTGTCTGGGCTCTCTCACTGGTCTCTCTATGTTCTCTCTCTGTCACTCTCTCTGGAGTCTCTCTGGTCATCTCTAGGTCTCTCTATGGTTCTCTCTCTTGTCTCTCTCTTGGTCTCTTTCTAGTCTCTCTTGCACAAAGAAAGTGTTCCTTATGGCACTGTCTCTGTCCTCGCTCTGTCGGCGCCTCGTAAATAAACTAAACTATGGTATTAGATGTAAATATACAACTTTTACACACACACACACACCCACACACCACACACCACACCACACACAACACACACACACACACACACACACACACACACAACCACACACACACACACACACACACCACACAACACACACAAACACACACACAACCACATCGGAGAGGCATAAAATTACACTACGAGGGCCGGCCGACTGTGTTGCGTGAGTCTGGTGTGAGTCTGTGTGTGGTCTGTGTGTCTTTGATTTGTTTCTGTGTGTGTGTGTGTATGTGTGTCTGTGTGTGTGCTGTGTGTGTGTGTAGTGTGTCGTGTGGTGGGTGTGTGAGTAGTGTTGTGTTTGTGTATAAAGTTGTATATTTAAATTCAAATACCATAGTTTAGTTTATTTACGAGGCTCCGGACAGAGCGAGGGGACAGAGACACGGTGCCAAAAGGAAAAAAAAAAAAAAAAAAAAAAAAAAAAAAAAAAAAAAAAAAAAAAAAAAAAATCTTTCTTGGTGCCAAGAGAGACTAGAAAGAGGACCAGAACGAGAGACAAGAGGATGAGGACCAGAGAGAGACAGGAGAGACCAGAGAGACACCAGAGAGCGGGAGACCAGAGAGGAGAAACCAGTGAGAGACCAGTGAGAGAGCCAGACAGCGCCAGAGAGTGATCAGAGAGAGACCAGAGAGAGAGACCAGAGAGAGACCAGAGAGGAGAGACCAGAAGAGAGACCAGAGAGAGGACCAGCGAGAGCCAGAGAGAGAGACAGAGAGAGACCAGAGACGAGTTAAAGAGACAGAGAGAGACCAAAGAGAGAGACGGAGAGTAGAGAGTGACCAGCGAGAGACCAGGAGTGACCAGAGAGAGACCAGAAGAGAGAAGAGAGAGTACCAGTGAGTGACAGAGGAAGTGACCAGCGAGTGACCAGAGAGGACAGAGAGAGACCACTGAGAGCGACAGAGAGAGGACCAGACAGAGGAGACCAGACAGGGACCAGAGAGGACCAGAAGAACGAGTGACCAGGGAGAGAGACCAGATGAGAGACCAGAGAGAGCCCAGACAGAGAGACAAACAGAGACCAGAAGAGGACCAGAGAGAGAGACCAGAGAGAGACCAGAGAGAGACAGAAAGAGAGACCAGACAGAGACCAGTGAGAGACAAGAGAGAGAGAAGAGGAGAGAGACCAGACAGAGACCAGAGAGAGACAGAGGAGAGACCAGAGAGAGACAAGAGGAGGAGACCAGACAGAGCCCAGAGAGACACGAGAGATGAGACAGAGAGTGACCAGGACGAGGACCATAGAGAGAGACCAGAGAGACAGAGAGAGACAGAAAGTACCCAGATGAGAGACCAGAGGAGAGACCAGCGAGAGACCAGAGAGAGAGACCAGGAGGAGACACGAGATGAGACCAGGAGAGCCAGAGAGAGACCAGAGAGAGACAAAAGAGAGACCAGACAGAGACCGAGAAGAGACAGAAGAGAGACAGAGAGGAGTCCAGAGAGAGCCAGATGAGAGACCAGAGAAGAGGACTAGAGTGAGACAGACAGAGAACAGAGGACAGACCAGAGCGAGACCAGACAGAGACTGTAGAGACAGAGAGAGACCAGGAGAGAGAGACCGACAGAGACCAGAGAGACACCCGAGAGAGACCAGAGAGAGAGACCAGAGAGAGACCAGAGAGAGAGACAGAGAGAGGACAGTGATGAGAACAGAGAAGAGGACCAGACAGGGACCAGAAGAGACAACAGAGAGAGACAGAGAGTGACAGAGAGTAGACCAGAGAGCAGACCAGAGAGAGACCTGAGATGTGACCAGAGAGAGGACCAGAGAGAGAGGGACAGAGAGACCAGAGAGAGACAGAGAGAGAGCCAAGGACAGAGACCAGAGTGACACCAGGAGAGAACAGAGCACAGTGACCAGAGAGGAGACCAGAAGAGAGAGACCAGAGAGAGACCAAGAGAGAGAGACCGAGAGAGACCGAGAGAGACCAGATGAGAGAGACCAGGACAGAGACCTGAGAGAGACAGAGAGAGAGACCAGACAGAGAACAGAGAGAGACAGAAATTGACCAGAGAGAGATCAGAGAGAGACAGTGGAGAGTCAGAGAGAGACCAGAGAGGACCAGATGAGAGAGACCGAGAGAGACCAGAAGAAAGTGAACAGAGAGAGACCAGAGAGAGAGAGAGTACGATTTCTCTCAAACTGCAATTTCTAAAACCTAAATGTTCGGTAACCGAGCAGCTTTGTTTTGTTGAGTCGTGTGTGTGTGTTTTTTGTGTGTGTGTCCATGACTCTTGTGTGTGTGCAGTCCCGCGCTTTGTCGTTGAAGGTTTGTGGTTCTCAGGTGCGTGTCAATGTGTGTGTGTGTGAGTGTTGTGTGTGTGTGTGTGTCATGTGTGTGTGTGTGTCCGTGTGGTGTGTGCCGTGTCAATGTGTGTGTATGTGTGTGAGTGTGTCCGTGTGTGTGTGTGTGTCTGTCTCGTGCGCTGGATTATAATTCTTCATCATTATAGTATGAAGTGAAAGTACTCGTGGCTGAATGTGCTTGGCGTGGATCTTTGGGCTATCCAGCACAAAACGCCCCAGTCACATATTGAAGGAGGAGACGCCACAAATGTCAACAGTAACACACAGGGATGGATTAGAAGGCCACACACAAATCACACACACACACACACACACTGAGAGCAACAAGTGAGCTTCATATATTTGGGGGAATATGCTGATATGCGACGAGTGAGACCAGAGAGAGGAGACAGAGAGAGACCAGGGAAGGAAACCAGAGAGAGACCAGAAAGAGACTAGGGAAGACAGGCGAGAGACCAGAGAGAGACCAGAGATGAGACCAGAGAGGAGACCAGGGGACCAGGACCAGGAGAGACCAGAAGAGAGACAGAGAGAGACCAGAGATGTGAGAGGGACCAGGAAAAGACCAGGGATCGAGACCAGAGAGAGACCAGAGAGGGAGACCAGAGAGAGACCAGGAAAAGACAGGGAGAGACCAGAGAGAGACCAGAGGAGAGACCATGGGAAAAGACAGGGGAGCCAGCGAGAGACCAGAGAGAGGACTGAGTCTTGGTCCTGTCTCTGACCCTCCTCCGTGGCCGGAGCAGGAAGGCCTGAGCAAGTTTAATTGTGTAGCACAGTTCATACAGAAGACCAACTCAAACCAAACAAGAAACATTAAAATAACAAAGGACTAGAATCATAAACAACCAGCTGAGAGTCACGGACTCTCCTGGACCCGGGTGATGGTGTTCTCACCAAACTCGCTCTGCCGCTCCATGGTACTTTTTTAGTTATGGTGCTCGGCCCGGTTCTAAAGAGTCATTATCAAACACACATGCATCCAACACACACCTCATACTGCGCCATGTGTTTTGTGTGTGTTTAGTGCCAAGTCCAGCCAAGCCCAGTCCGAGTCCAGCCCAGTTCAGTCCCTGCCAGCCCAAGCGCATTTCCAGTCTGCCAGACAAGTCCAGCCCAGGTCTAGTCCAGTCGTCCAGCCCAGACCAGATCCCTGCATGTTCATGATTACAAAGATGATTTTACATATTTCATAAATGAACATTTGTGAGTAACAAGTTCAGAGATCCCTGTCTGTTTTTTTGGGGTTGAGACTGTTCAACTCTGAGACCATGAAGCGAACTTCTCTGAGTCTGAGACTGTTCTAACTCTGAGACCATGAAGCGACTTCTTGAGTCAGAGACTGTTCCAACTCTGAGACCTGAAGCGACTTCTCTGAGTCTGAGGATGTTCCAACTCTGAGACCATGAAGCGACTACTTCTGAGTCTGAGACTGTTCTAACTCTGAAGACATGAAGCGACTTCTCTGAGTCTGAAGAGGGGGTGGGGGTCTGTTCCAACTCTGAGACCATGAAGCGACTTCTCTGAGTCTGAGACTGTTCTAATCTGAGACCATGAAGCGACTTCTCTGAGTTGAGATGTTCCAACCTCTGAGACATGAAGCGACTTTCTGAGTCTGTGACCTGTTCTAACTCTGAGACATGAAGCGCTTCTCTGGTCTGAGACTGTTCTAACTCTGAGACCATGAAGCGATTCTCTGAGTCTGAGACTGGTTCCACCTCTGAGACATGAAGCGGACTTCTCTGAGTCTGAGACTGTTCTAACTCTGAGACCAGAAGCGACTTCTCTGAGTCTGACACTGTTTCTAACTCTGTGACCATGAAACGACTTCTCTGAGTCTGAGACTGTTCCAACTCTGAGACCAATTGAAGCGACTTCTCGAGTCTGAGACTGTTCTAACTCTGCGACCATGAAGCGACTTCTCTGAGTCTGGACTGTTCCAACTCTGAGACCATGAAGCGACTTCTATGAGTCTGACACTGTTCTAAGCTTGAGACCATTGAAGCGACTTCTCTGCCGTCTGGACTGTTCTGAACTCTGAGACCATGAAGCGACTTCTCTGAGTCTGAGATGTTCTAACTCTGAGACCATGAAGCGACTTCTCTTGAGTCTGTACACTGTTCTAACTCTGATACCATGAAGCGACTTCTTGAGTCTGAGACTGTTCCAACTCTGAGACATGAAGCGACCTCTCTGAGTCTGCGACTGTTCCAACTCGGAGCACATGAAGCGACTTCTAGAGTATGACACTGTTCTAACTCTTGAGAACATGAAGCAGACTTCTCTGAGTCTGAGGACTGTTCCACCTCTGAGGTACCATGAAGCGACATCTCTGGTCTGAGGACTGTTCCACCTCTGAGACCATTGAAGCGACTTCTCTGAGTCTGAGGACTGTTCCAACTCTGAGACCATGAAGCGACTTCTCTGAGTCTGAGACTGTTCAACTCTGACACATGAAGCGACTTCTCTGGAGATTCTGGACACTGTTCTAAACTCTGGGACCATGAAGCGAAGCTTCTCTGAGTCTGAGAACTGTTCCAACTCTGAGACCATGAAGCGACTTCTCTGAGTTAGGGTGACTCGTTCAACTCTGAGACCATGAAGCGACTTCTCTGAGTCTGAGGACTGTTCCAACTCTGAGACCATGGAAGCGACTTCTACTGAGTCTGAGACTGTTCCAACTCTGAGACCATGAAGGCGACTTCTCTGAGTCTGAGAATGTTCCAACTCTGAGGTGGTATTGGTTGTATCATGGCTTTCTTTGTATCAAGGTATCGTTAGTCTGGTCAGTCTAGTCCACCCTAGTCCAGTCCCGTCCATTCTAGTTCCATCAAGGTCCAGTCCAGTCCAGGTCCAGTCCATAGCGAGTCCTTCATGTCCATTTTGTAGTCCAGTCCCAGTCCATTCGAGTCCAGTTAGGAGTCCTGCCGCAACAGGAAACAGGATCCTGTCAATCCTACCCGTCATCATCCTGGATAATTTACAAGGAAGGAAAGCTTTTCATTCGTGCATCAACCCGCCTCCTCCACCAACCAGAGAGGACCAGGAGAGGCCAGAGAGAGACCAGAGAGGAGACCAGGAGGAGACCAGACAGAGACCACGAGAGTGGACCGAGAGAGACCAAGGGAGAGACCAGAGAGAGACCAGGGAGAGACCCGGGAGTGACCAGAGAGAGGACCTGAGAGAGACCAGGGAGAGACCAGAGAAAATGACCGTGAGAGACAGGGAGGAGACCCGGAGAGCGGGACCAGAGAAGAATTGTTGGGGGGGGGGGAAACCCCAAGGGAGAGACAGAGAAAGACCAGAGAGAGGATACCAGAGAGAGACCAGGGAGAGACAGAGAGGACCAGAGAGAGACCAGAGAGAGACCAGGGAGAGACCAGAGAGAGACCAGAGAGAGACCAGAGCGAGACCAGGGAGAGACCAGAGAGAGGCCAGAGAGGATCGGACCAGGGAGAGACCAGAGAGAGCACCAGAAGTGAGACCAGAGTAGAGACCTGGGAGAGACCAGAGAAGAGGGACCCGGAAGAGACCAGCAGAGAGACCAGAGAGGAGACCAGGAGAGAGACCAGGAGATGAGACCAGGGAGAGGACCAGGGAGAAACCAGAGAGAGACCAGAGAGGACCAGAGAGACAGAGAGAGACCAGAGAGAGGACCCGGGAGGAGACCAGGGAGATACCAGAGAGAGGACCCGGGAGAGACCGAGAGTAGACCGAGAGAGAGACCGAGAGAGGACCAGGAGACCAGAGAGAGACCAGAGAGACCAGAGAGTACCAGAGAGAGACCAGGGAGAGACCAGAGGAGATACAGAGAGAGACCAGAGAGGAGCCCAGAGAGAGGGACCAGAGAGAGACCAGAGAAGATACCAGAGAGAGATTCAGGGGAGAGACCAGAGCGAGACCAGGGAAGAGACCAGAGAGATCCCAGAGAGCGGCCAGAGAGAGACCAGATGTGAGACAAGAGATTACCATGAGAGAGACCCGGAGAGGACAGAGAGAGACCAGGGAAGAGACAGAGAGAGACCAGGGAGAGACCAGAGAGAGACAAGGGAGAGACCAGGGAGAAAACCAGAGAAGGGAGACCAGACAGAGAACCAGCAGAGACAGTAGAGACCAGAGAGAGACAGAGAGAGACCAGGGAGAGACTAGAGAGAGCCAAACCCCCCCCCCCCCCCCCCCCCCCCCCACCACCCCCCCACGAGAGAGACAGGGAAGAGACCAAGAGATACCAGAGAGGATACCAGAGATGAGACAGATAGAGACAGAGAGAGACCCAGAGAGAGACCCGAGAGATACCCAGAGAGAGATCAGGGAGAGACCAGAGAGAGACAGGAGAGGACCAGAGAGATACCAAGAGAGCCAGAGAGAGGCCAGAAGAGAGACCAGAGAGATACCAGAGGAGACCAGGGGAGACAGAGATGGAGGACCAGGAGAGACCAGAGAGGAGACAGAGAGAGACCAGAGAGAGCCAGAGATAGACCAGAGAGAGACCAGAGAGAGACAGGATGAGACCAGGGAGAAGTGACAAGAGAGTACCAGAGAGCGACCAGAGTACGTGGCCGAGAGATACCAGAGAGAGATATGTTGTAATAAAACTGTCGACAGAGAAGGCCCCAGAACAAGAGCTGGAGGAGGAGGTGGAGAAGAAAGAAGAGGTGGCTGAGAAGGAGGTGGTGCAGAAGGAGGAGGTGGAGAAGAAAGAAGAGGTGGCTGAGAAGGAGGTGGTGCAGAAGGAGGAGGTGGAGAAGAAAGAGGAGGTGGGGCCAGCAGAGCCAGAGGAGCACCTCCCCTCTCTGCTCCTCGCGGTCTCAGGAGGTGAGTCACTTAGCTTTCCACTTTCCAACTTGTTTTAAAAAGAAGCTGAATGTGTCACATCAATATTATTATTATAATATCATAAATATATTATTATTATTATTAAATTATTATTATTATGAAATGAAATGAAAAAAAAAAATGAACAAAAAAAAAATAAGTATTCGCCCCCTTGAACCTTTCAACATTTCGCCACATTTCAGGCTTCAAACATAAAGATATAAAAAATAACTTTTTTGTCAAGAATCAACAACAAGTGGGACACAATCGTGAAGTGGAACGAAATTTATTGGATAATTTAAACTTTTTTAACAAATAAAAAACTGAAAAGTGGGGCGTGCAATATTATTCGGCCCCCTTGCGCTAATACTTTGTAGCGCCACCTTTTGCTGCAATTACAGCTGCAAGTCGCTTGGGGTATGTCTCTATCAGTTTTGCACATCGAGAGACTGGAATTCTTGCCCATTCTTCCTTGCAAAACAGCTGGAGCTCAGTGAGGTTGGATGGAGAGCGTTTGTGAACAGCAGTCTTCAGCTCTTTCCACAGATTCTCGATTGGATTCAGGTCTGGACTTTGACTTGGCCATTCTAACACCTGGATACGTCTATTTGTGAACCATTCCATTGTAGATTTGGCTTTATGTTTTGGATCATTGTCCTGTTGGAAGATAAATCTCCGTCCCAGTCTCAGGTCTTTTGCAGACTCCAACAGGTTTTCTTCCAGAATGGTCCTGTATTTGGCTCCATCCATCTTCCCATCAATTTTAGCCATCTTCCCTGTCCCTGCTGAAGAAAAGCAGGCCCAAAGCATGATGCTGCCACCACCATGTTTGACAGTGGGGATGGTGTGTTCAGGGTGATGAGCTGTGTTGCTTTTACGCCAAACATATCCTTTTGCATTGTGGCCAAAAAGTTCCATTTTGGTTTCATCTGACCAGAGCACCTTCTTCCACATGTTTGGTGTGTCTCCCAGGTGGCTTGTGGCAAACTTTAAACCAGACTTTTTATGGATATCTTTGAGAAATGGCTTTCTTCTTGCCACTCTTCCATAAAGGCCAGATTTGTGCAGTGCACGACTGATTGTTGTCCTATGGACAGACTCTCCCACCTCAGCTGTAGTTATCTGCAGTTCATCCAGAGTGATCATGGGCCTCTTTGTTGCATCTCTGATCAGTCTTCTCCTTGTTTGAGATGAAAGTTTGGAAGGACGGCCGAGTCTTGGTAGATTTGCAGTGGTCTGATACTCCTTCCATTTCAATATATTTGCTTGCACAGTGCTCCTTGAGATGTTTAAAGCTTGGGAAATCTTTTTGTATCCAAATCCGGCTTTAAACTTCTCCACAACAGTATCTCGGACCTGCCTGGTGTGTTCCTTTGTCTTCATGGTTCTCTCTGTGCTTTAAACAGAACCCTGAGACTATCAAAGAGCAGGTGCATTTATACGGAGACTTGATTACACACAGATGCATTCTATTTATCATCATCAGTCATTTAGGACAACATTGGATCATTCAAAGATCCTCACTGAACTTCTGGACTGAGTTTGCTGCACTGAAAGTAAAGGGGCCCAATAATATTGCACGCCCCACTTTTCAGTTTTTTATTTGTTAAAAAAGTTTAAATTATCCAATAAATTTAGTTCCACTTCACGATTGTGTCCCACTTGTTGATTCATGACAAAAAAATAAAATGTTATATCTTTATGTTTGAAGCCTGAAATGTGGCGAAATGTTGAAAGGTTCAAGGGGCCGAATACTTTCGCAAGGCACTGTATATATATACTGTACATTGTATCTATCGTACAGTATTCAAATAAACGTATTGACCCTAAAAACCTTTTCACTTGTGGCAGATGTGAACAGAACAGGGGGCGGAGCAGAGGAGCTAGAGTGGGAGGAGCTTCAGATGCCAAACTCCTCCCACAGTGCAGCAGGTGACGGATGGATGGATAGATAGATAGAGAGAGGGGGATGGATGGATAGATAGATAGAGAGAGAGAGGGGGATGGATGGATAGATAGATAGAGAGAGAGAGGGGGATGGATGGATAGATAGATAGAGAGAGGGGGATGGATGGATAGATAGATAGAGAGAGAGAGGGGGATGGATGGATAGATAGATAATCATTAGTCATTATTCTTTCTCTCCAAACACGGTGGTGATAAACTACTACTGTAGCCACAGCTGCCCTGGGGCACACTGACAGAAGCGAGGCAACCAGTCTGTGCCATCGGCCCCTCCCACCACCACCAACCATTCACCAGACTCATTCTAGGCAATGGGGGTAAAGTGTCTTGCCCAAGGACACAACAACAGCAGACAGTGGGAGTCAATGGTGAAAGTCGGGCTTAAACCCACAACTCTCTGGCTCAAAGGCCAATGCTCTACCAACTGAGCTACTGTCGCTCATAGATAGAAAGAGAGGGGGATAGATAGATAGATAGATAGATAGATAGATAGATAGATAGATAGATAGATAGATAGATAGATAGATAGATAGATAGATAGATAGATAGATAGATAGATAGATAACATGTGATTTTTCCAGATGGAGCAGAATCTGAAGTGTCCGTTTTAGAACCTCCTCCAGATGTGAGCCCCACCAGCACCAGTACCAGTACCCAGCCCCCACACACAGCTGCATGGACTACAGCTCCCAGAATCCCCCTGGTGCCTTCTCAAGGTGAGGCCATCAGACACAGATGGAGCCAGGATCTGGTTCCAGGAACCTATGGTCCTGGGTTAGAAACCTATGATCCTGGGTTAGAAACCTATGGTCCTGGTCCTGGGTTAGGAACCTATGATCCTGGGTTAGAAACCTATGATCCTGGGTTAGGAACCTATGATCCTGGGTTAGAAACCTATGGTCCTAGTCCTGGGTTAGGAACTTATGGTCCTGGGCCTGGGTTAGAAACCTATGGTCCTGGGTTAGGAACCTATGGTGCTGGGAAACCTATGGTCCTGGGTTAGGAACCTATGGTCCTGGGTTAGGAACCTATGGTCCTGGGTTAGGAACCTATGGTCCTGGGTTAGGAACCTATGGTCCTGGCTTAGGAACCTATGGTCCTGGCTTAGGAACCTATGGTCCTGGGTTAGGAACCTATGTTCCTGGGTTAGGAACCTATGGTCCTGGGTTAGGAACCCATGGTCCTGGGTTAGGAACCTATGGTCCTGGCTTAGGAACCTATAGTCCTGGCTTAGGAACCTATGGTCCTGGGTTAGGAACCTATGGTCCTGGGTTAGGAACCTATGGTCCTGGGTTAGGAACCCATGGTCCTGGGTTAGGAACCTATTGTCCTGGGTTAGGAACCCATGGTCCTGGGTTAGGAACCCATGGTCCTGGGTTAGGAACCTATGGTCCTGGCTTAGGAACCTATGGTCCTGGGTTAGGAACCCATGGTCCTGGGTTAGGAACCCATGGTCCTGACTTAGGAACCTATGGTCCTGGGTTAGGAACCTATGGTCCTGGGTTAGGAACCTATGGTCCTGGGTTAGGAACCTATGGTCCTGGGTTAGGAACCTATTGTCCTGGGTTAGGAACCTATGGTCCTGGGTTAGGAACCTATGGTCCTGGGTTAGGAACCTATGGTCCTGGGTTAGGAACCCATGGTCCTGGGTTAGGAACCCATGGTCCTGATGTTTTGTGCTGCTGTGATGAGAAGGGAGCAACGTCTGCAGTCAAAGCCCTCCACCCTCACCTGTGCTCAGAGGGCTGCCTCTGCAGTGTCCCGGGGATGGATGAAGGGGAAGAACACGGATATATTTCACATTTAGATAAGATAAGATAAGAGTTCCTTTATTTGTCCCACAGTGGGGAAATTTCGTTGTTGCAGCGCACAGACAGGACAGTAGTAAGAGCACACAGGGATCACACAATATATACAAGTAGTAGCTATGTTTCTTAGCTAACATAACTAGCTGTAGATGCTGAAAATGCTTCAATACCAGTCAAAATATATATATGTAGTAGTGCAGTTATATACTGTACAGTTAAATAGTGCAGGATAAAAAGTATATAAGTAAAGTGACATGAGGTAAAGTGACATTGTTCTGTGACATTCTGAAGTTGCAGTATTGCACATTGCACATGATTTAATAATTTACTTAATTACAGATGAATTAAATTTACAGGCTCAGCAGTTCTTATTGTACAGTCTGACAACAGCAGGAAGGAAAGACCTACGGAACCTCTCCTTCACACAGCGAGGGTGAATTAGTCTGTCACTGAAGCTGCTCTCCAGAGCAGAGAGAGTGTCCTGCAGGGGGCGACAGTCATGGTCCAGCATAGATGTTAGTTTGCTCAGGACCCTCCTGTCCCCCACCTGCTGCACTGTGTCCAGGGAACAGCCCAGGACTGAGCTGGACTTCCTGATGTTCCAGCTTCTTCCTGTCCCTCTCTGTGATGCTGCTGTTCCAGCAGACCACACCGTACAAGAGGCTCCACCACAGAGTCATAGAAGGTCTTCAGGAGTGGCCCCTGCACGCCAAAAGACCTGAGCCTCCTCAGTAGGTAGAGGCGGCTCTGGCCCTTCTTGAAGAGGGCGTCTGTGTTATGAGTCCAGTCCAGTTTGTGGTTCAAATGAACACCCAGGTACTTGTAAGAGTCCACTCTCTCGATGTCCTTTCCCTGGATGTTCACTGAAGCTGGAGCGGCAGAGTGACGTCTACGGAAATCCACCACCATCTCCTTGGTCTTCCCCGCGTTGATGAGGAGGTGGTTCATCTCCTTGGTCTTCCCTGCGTCGATGAGGAGGTGGTTCATCTCCTTGGTCTTCCCCGCGTTGATGAGGAGGTGGTTCATCTCCTTGGTCTTCCCTGCGTTGATGAGGAGGTGGTTCATCTCCTTGGTCTTCCCTGCGTTGATGAGGAGGTGGTTCATCTCCTTGGTCTTCCCTGCGTTGATGAGGAGGTGGTTCATCTCCTTGGTCTTCCCTGCGTTGATGAGGAGGTGGTTCATCTCCTTGGTCTTCCCCGCGTTGATGAGGAGGTGGTTCATCTCCTTGGTCTTCCCTGCGTTGATGAGGAGGTGGTTCATCTCCTTGGTCTTCCTCATGTTGATGAGGAGGTGGTTCATCTCCTTGGTCTTCCTCACGTTGATGAGGAGGTGGTTCATCTCCTTGGTCTTCCTCATGTTGATGAGGAGGTGGTTCATCTCCTTGGTCTTCCCCGCGTTGATGAGGAGGTGGTTCATCTCCTTGGTCTTCCTCACGTTGATGAGGAGGTGGTTCATCTCCTTGGTCTTCCCCGCGTTGATGAGGAGGTGGTTCATCTCCTTGGTCTTCCTCACGTTGATGAGGAGGTGGTTCCGCTGACACCAGTCCACAAAGTCCTGTATAACTCCTCTGTACTCTGTGTCATCGTCCTCGGAGCTGAGTCCGATGATGGCAGAGTCGTCAGAGAACTTCTGTAGAACACAACCGTCCGTGTTGTGTCTGAAGTCCGCAGTGTAGAGGGTGACCTCAGACACAAAGTCCCTGGTTCTCACAAACTGGGGTCTGTCTGTGAGGTAGTCCAGGATCCACTGGGACAGGTCATAGTCCACACCGGCTGTCTCCAGCTTGTCCCTGAGAAGCCTCGGCTGGATGGTGTTGAAGGCACTGGAGAAATCAAAGAAGAGGATCCTCACAGTGGAGCCGGGTTTCTCCAGGTGGGACAGGGAGCGATGGAGGAGGGAGATGATGGCGTCCTCGACTCCGATGCCCGGCCTGTAGGCGAACTGCAGCGGGTCCATCGCTGGGCTCAGAGTGGAGCGGAGATGTCCCAGGACCAGTCTCTCCAGTGTCTTCATGCAGTGGGATGTTAGAGCCACTGGCCTGAAGTCGCTGAGGTCTTTCTTGGGCACCGGTACCACACAGGAGGTCTTCCAGAGCTGTGGTACCACCCTCAGCTTGAGGCTCAGGTTGAAGACGCGCTCCATCACTCCACAGAGTTCGTCTCCACAGGAGCGAAGGAGCCTGGAGCTGATGTTATCTGGTCCTGGTGCCTTTCTGGTCTTTATCCTCCTCATCTCTGTCCTCACCTGAGCAGCGGTGACTGACAGGGGGGTGCAGGGGTACAGGGTGGAGTGGGTGCTGAGTAGGGAGGACGGGGGCTCAGTGGTGGGGGGGGGAGTGTCTCTGGGAGGGCTGGTGGGGCCGTGGGAGGAAGACTGTGGTGGCATGACAGAGGTGTGAACGATCGTAGGTGTTGCCCTTTGTTCCGCTGCCGGAGTGAGGGGGAGCGTCTGCACAGGGGGAGGGGAAGGCTGGTCAAAGCAAGCAAAGAATGTATTTAGCTCGTTTGCCCACAGCTGGTCTCCTGTGGACTGACTGGGGGGTGTTTTGAAGCCTGACATGGATTTAAGGCCTCTCCACACCCCCCGCACGTCCTGCCGAGCCAGTTGCTCCTCGATCTTCCTCCTGTAGATGTTTTTAGCTGCGCGTATATTCCACCTCAACTTCCTTTGCGCAGATTTAAGGGCTTCCTTATCCCCTGACTTAAAAGCCCGCTTTTTGTCCTTAAGCAGAGCTTTGATGTCAGGGTTGATCCACGGCTTATTGTTTGGGAAACACCGTACAGTGCGGGCAGGTACGGCGTTCTCAAAGCAAAAGTTAATGTAGTCCGTGACACACTCTGTCATGGCATTAATGTCCTCCCCGTGTGGGTCACAGAGCTCGTTCCACAGCGTTGTGTCGAAACAGTCTCTGAGGGCCTCCTCTGTGTCCACGTTCCACAGCTTCACCACACGTGAGACAGCAAGATGCCTACGCACAACCGGCTCATAAATGGGCCGTAGATGGACAATGTTGTGGTCGGCTCTGCCCGGGGGGGGAAGGGCAGACGCGGTGTAGGCATCCTTCACATTAACAAAGAATAAATCCAATGTCTTACTGCCTCGTGTGGGAAAGGTGATGTATTGGGTGAAGGACGGGAGAGTAGTCGTTATTGTCTTGTGTTAGGTTTGTCTCTGCTGACCACTGCAGCGGTGACTACGGTGATGCCCGAAGACAAGAGAGAAGAGGAGGAGGAGGAAGAACAGGAGGAGGAGCAGGAGGAAGAAGAGGAGGAGGAGGAGCAGGATGAGCTGCGTGAGTACAGAGCAACCCTCTCGTACCCAGGACTCAGGCTGTAGACCCAGGACTGAGGCTGTAGACCCTGGACTGAGGCTGTAGACCCAGGACTGAGGCTGTAGACCCAGGACTGAGGCTGTAGACCCAGGACTGAGGCTGTAGACCCAGGACTGAGGCTGTAGACCCTGGACTGAGGCTGTAGACCCAGGACTGAGGCTGTAGACCCAGGACTGAGGCTGTAGACCCAGGACTGAGGCTGTAGACCCAGGACTGAGGCTGTAGACCAGGACTGAGGCTGTAGACCCAGGACTGAGGCTGTAGACCCAGGACTGAGAATGTAGACCCAGGACTGAGGCTGTAGACCCAGGACTGAGGCTGTAGACCCAGGACTGAGGCTGTAGACCCAGGACTGAGGCTGTAGACCCAGGACTGAGGCTGTAGACCCAGGACTGAGACTGTAGACCCAGGACTGAGGCTGTAGACCCAGGACTGAGACTGTAGACCAGCGGTCTCCAACATGTAGCTCGGGAGCTACCAGTAGCTTGCCACCCCCTTTCAGGTAGCTCCCCAAAGGAATCAAATCTACTGTACTGGTATATTCTGCAGGTGTTTTCCAAATGATTTTCTGAACTGATTATAGACAAGGCAAGTTTATTTATATAGCACAATTCATACACAAGGCAACTCAAAGTGCTGAACAAAATAAGAAAGCATTAAAATCATAAATAATCACAGAACATTAAAAAGATAAAAATATAAAATCCCTCAGTTGTAGCACAGTTAAACAGAACTGTCTTTAACCTGGTTTTAAACATTGTCAGAGAGGAGGCCTGTCTCACATCTTCAGGAAGACTGTTCCAGATTTTAGCAGCATGAATCTGAAAAGCAGCCTCCCCATGTTTAGTTCTGACTCTGGACACTAACAGGAGTCCAGTCCCTGTGCTCCTCAGAGTCC